TGTGTGTCCGGTTGTGCTTGTCCAGACTTGCTGCCGTTATCAGGGGGAGAGAAGGGGAGCGCAGCCAGTCAGTGGCATGGCACGTGCTCCCCATCCCAGCGACTGGGCCAGAAAGGCAAGTGCAGCATAAGCTTCAACTAAGGGTCATGGGAAACACCAGCTTGTTCCCCCTCTGTGCCATGAGGGCAGCGGAGGTGACCTGGTGTCAGTCTGCACTCACAAGAGCATGGCTTTGCTCCTGGGGAAGCTGCTTTCTGGAGGCCCTGGATGCCGGAGCATGGCACTTGGCATAACCTGCCCCAGCAGCACCCAAGGGTACCTTGTGTCCGGAAGGTCTTGCCGCAAAGGTGGCACTGGAAGGGCTTCTCACCAGTGTGTGTGCGCAGGTGCATGTTGAGATTGGCTTTCTGTGTGAAGGCGTGGTGGCAGAACTCGCACACGTAGGGCCGCTCGTTTCTGTGGGCAGCGAAAAGTCCCCATCACCTCTCTGTCCACCAAGAAGGGAGCACTCCCTTCAGCCAACCCCCAGAGCTACAGGGGAGGGAGCACAGCTACAAGAGCCAGGGTGATGTAACGGAGTGTCATAGTTCTGATTTTAGCAAGAAATTTTGTCTTTCCTTTCCCCTTCCCCCTCCTGCGTGTATGTTGTTAATGGGCCATCAGATAAACAAAGGAGTTGGCCTGAGCCCTAAATGACCAGACATTAATCTCCTAGCAACGAAGGGGGAGGAATTGGGAAAAAGGCCAGGGTGTGTGTATGGAAAGAGGTGGGGAGGAATTGGGGAAAGGCCAGGGTGTGTGTATGGAAAGAGGTGGGGTTTGGTTGTTGGAGCTCAGCTCTGGAGCCGGAGGGGAGGCTGCAGCAAGCAGGAGAGACTGCCTGGTTGCTTCTTTGTCTTTTGCCTGTCGGAGGAGAGTTGCTGCTGTTCTCTGCACAGCTGTTTGCTGGTTACGGGCCTGGCTCACCGCGAGATCCTCACCAACCGAAAATCGTGAGTTTTCCTCCATTGGGAGAACTTTCTGTTTCCCTTCCCCTTCCCCCCTCCTCCATCGCCACCCGGCAGCAACCAAGGATCCCACAGCGCCGCCCGGTGACGGGGGCTGGACATTGCAAGTTCTACTCCTCTGGTGATCCAACAGCGCCACCTGGTGACTACTATAGAACATTACAAGTTCTGCACTTTTGATAACTCAACAGCGTCCCCTGGTGAACGGTATAAGACATTGCAAGTTTTGCATCTCCAGTGACCCAACGGCGCCCCCTGCTGACTGTGGCTGGAACTGCACCAAAGAGTGCTAAAAATTGAACTATTTTATTTTCTTTTTTGCTGGTTTTATCGGTTTTGTTCTTGAAGGGGATTATTGGTGGGTATAGGGGTATTGCATGGTTGTTTTACTTGTTTTTTTTTTCATGTTCCTGTTAATACACACATACCTTTTAATAAAGGGCTGTTATTTTTTTTTTTCCCTTTTCCATAATTTGTTTTCCTTCAATCGGAGCCTCTTAATTTCGAATTTATAATTGCTAGAAAAGGAAGTTTGGGTCTTTTTCTCCTAACCCATCCTCAGCAAAAGACCTTTGTCTCATTTAAACTGGGACAGGGAGGACACAGGTCACATCGTACCTGTGCTTGGCCTTGATGTGCATCTGCAGGCCATTGCGGCTCGAGGCCCTGTGCCCACACTCCTCACACACAAACAGCTTCTCTCCACGGTGTTTGAAGGCCTCATG